GGGAGAATTCAGTCTTTCTCTATTGAAATCATTCTTTTACGTCATGCTTAAAAAAAACATAAGGCATTGCATCATTGTATTACTGAGAGTTTGAGATCTTAGTTTCTCATGCATTTTCTTCTATATAGGATCATATATGCTCAGTCACTCAGTTGTGTCTGACCCTTTGCAACCCCATGGACTGTAGCTCACCCACCAGGCGGCTCTATCCATGGGATTTTCCCAAACAAGAATATTGAAGTGGGTTGCCATTTCCTCCTCCAGGGGATCTTCCCAACCCAGGGAACGAACCAGTGTTGCCTGCATCTCCTGCATTGACAGACGGATTCTTTACCCCTGAACCACCTGGGAAGACCCACATGATCATATAATCTACCCTTTAAAATAGTCTGTTTTTCTCCCTGTTTGTATTGCTATTTTGCATTATTTTTCCTTGCATTGATCAGTCTCGAATTTATTTGAATTTTGCAACATCAATTTGAATTCTAGTTTTATATTTTGAAATTCTCATCAGGTTCCCTATGTATTGTGACCTAAGAGGAGTCGAAACTATGGCTTCAGGAATAATACTTCTGAAAGGCCATTTGTTAAATGATGCAAATGTGATTTTCATTTTTAAATAAGATCTTTCTGAAAGTTGTTTACTTGCCTTAGATTTCATAGTCTACCCACTTTTTTCTTAATATAATATCACTGATTAAACTAAGACTCAAAACACTTGATTTTCCCAGAAATAAAGATTTTTCTGAATATCAGTCAATTCAATTAAATAAGAAATAGTATAAATTTTCACACAAGGTATAGTAGTGTTTCCCTATATTATTCAAGTTGTTGATCCTTATTATAAACCCATCTCTTCTCTATACTTTTGGGAGACATTTCCCTTAATTTTAGGCCTCTCATCAATTTTTCTAAGTTTTCTCACTGTGTTAGGTACTTCAGGAATACACATATTTGAGATTATAAACCTGGTCCAGTTTATAAAGCTGGTAGTTGTAATTATAAACTCGGGAAACAGGGCTCATGGGTATGAATTCCTTCTCTCCTAAATATAAGGCAAACGTGGGCAAGTTGTAGCATCTCTCTGTGCCTCAGTTTCCCACTTGTAAAGTGAGAGCACGTTTATTCTAGTATTGGGTTGTTGGAAGGAAATAAGAGTCAGTCAGTTAGTTCAGTCACTCAGTCACGTCCAACTCTTNTGATCTTAGTTTTCTGAATGTTGAGCTTTAAGCCAAATTTTTCACTCTCACTTTCATCAAGGGGCTCTTTAGTTCTTCACTTTCTGCCATGTGGGTGGTGTCCTCTGCATATCTGAGGTTATTGATATTTCTCCCGGCAATCTTGATTAGAGCTTGTGCTTCATCCAGTCCAGCGTTTCTCTTGATATACTATGCGTATAAGTTAAATAAGCAGGGTGACAATATACAGCCTTGAAGTACTCCTTTTCCTATTTGAAACCAGTCTGTTGTTCCATGTCTAGTTCTAACTGTTGCTTCCTGACCTGCATACAGATTTCTCAAGAGGCAGCTCAGGTGGTCTGGTATTCATCTCTTTAAGAATTTTCCAGAGTTTGTTGTGGTCTACACAGTCAAAGGCTTTGGCATAGTCAATAAAGCAGAAGTAGGTGTTTTTCAGGAACTTTCTTGCCTTTTTGATGATCCAACAGATGTTGGCAATTTATTCTAGTATTGGGTTGTTGGAGGAGATAAGAGTGCACACTAGTTAAACACTTCCAGGAGTTATAAAGTCTGATATCCACACTTTCTATCAGGCAAGGACTTGTTACTCCATGTGTTGTATCCAACCTCTTTCCTAACGTGAACTGATTTCAGCATTATTAAATAGTAGTAATAATAGTTGCTGTTGTTGCTCAGTCCCTGAGTCATGTCTGACTCTTTGCCACCCCATAGACTGTCGCATGCCAGGCTCCCCTGTCCTCCACTATCTCCCCCACGGAACTTGCTCAAACTCATGTCCATTGAGTCAGTGATGCCATCCAACCATCTCATCCTCTTTTGTCCCCTTTTTCTCCCGCCCTCAATCTTTCCCAGCATCAGGGTCTTTTGCAGTGAGTCAGCTCTTCGCATCAGGTTGTTTTGCACTTACTAGGAATTAATAGCTTTTCTTGCCTTTAAAACAAACAGTCATCCCATTGGGCCCTTGTCTTCTTTTCACTTAACAATCAGGAGACTGGAGCTTTGAGAACTCAGTTACTTGCCAGATACAGATGATTGACTGGAAAGCCCAGATGTGGCCTTGATCGTTAGCTTCCGAAGCCAAGCTCTGAATGTGGAGTTCCCTGACATTTCCTCCCCAAAAGGCCAGTGCCGGCGTAGAATATATGTCTGAGCCTAACAACATTCATAAACTGCCCTTCACCTTTTCTTCTCCTCTTACTGTGAGACGTTGTCTTCTTGTTCCTGCTCTATTAATGGCCTTTCACACTCCGCTTTCACCTTTGGTCCAGTCTCCCTTGCAGCTTACGTGATCTTAGTTTCCCCAGCCAGGGACTAAACTGTTACCCCTGAATTGAGAATGTGGAGTCTTAACCACTGGATCGCTAGAGAATTCCCTATTCTTTTAAAATTCATTCATTCCTCTGAGAGGTTTTTTTTTAACTTGTGTTATCATTTTTTAACAGTAGTGTTTTGTCATGTTTCAATCTTTTTCTCTCTTTTTTTTTTTACATTTTATGTTTCAGCCTTAAATTGTCATCCTTGCCATTTTGCCTTCCCTTCCTGTTAAACACTGTATTTCAAGGTATTAGTAACAAATAATTTTGTATAGAAGATAATTTTTCTGATATTAGTAACCCTTTTTAGGAAGCTTTAATATAGATATTTAGTTCCTGAAAGAAAAAATTGTATTCATCTGAAAAAATGTCAGGTTATTGTTAGTTTTCCCTTTTGCCTTTAATTTGCTGACTGGCTTTTCACAACTCATCTAGAAAATGAAACTTTGTTTACCTCTGGGCATTTGTTCTTCCAAGAGCATGGTTATGCCTGGCCTGAATTTTAAATCCCTGTTCCCATGACATATAGCACATTGTTCATAAATATTAAAATGTGAATTTTAATTAGACATGCTAGCAAAATTTGGGAGAAAATATAAATGCTCCAGAAACTGCACAGACATAAGACAGATTATCTGGTTATGAACTTAATTTTTTATTAGTCTAATCTAATGGCTTTGAAACTTAATCCATCAAGGCAACACTTGTCATTTCAAAACCCGACTTTTTTGGGAGTATACACACTTTTAGTTTAGAAAGTTTTCTTAAATATTTTTCTCATTTGGTGTCGTGGTACCTGGTCTCCTGATTTTGGTTATTATAAGATTAAGTTTTAAAAGGTCATTGAAAATGAGAAGCCCTGACCTCTTAATTAAAATCAGTTCTCATATTAGAATATATTTCTCCAGTTCACTTTGCAACTTTTTTTTATCATTTTGACATGAAATCCTTAACTTCCTTTAATATTAAACTAGTATTGTTTTCTTTCTTTTGTATTTGATTTTGAATGTCTTCTAATGTGAGAAAGAATAAGTTTATCACCATTCACTGGGTAGTGCTCAAAAAGTCTTGAGTTGTAGGATGTGATTGATAATTGGAATCTAATTCTGTGTGGAGCTTGCATGTTATAAATGGTCATATCGAGACACAGGATATATTTTTATGAAGTATAGCTAATTTACAATGTTGTGTTAGTTTCAAGTGTACACCAAAGTGGTTCAGTCTCATATATATATGTGAATATATATATTTGTCTTTTTTCCAGTTTCTTTTCCCATATGGTTTATTGTAAAATATTGAGTAGAGTTTCCTGTGCTGTAGAGTAGGTCCTTTTTTGTTATCTATTTTATATATATTAGTGTGTATATGTTCATTCTGAGCTAGAAAGTAAGGTGCCACCTAATATTAATCATGGATAATGATCAAATAGTTATTAACAAATCACATTCTATTAATATGGAAGATGCTATATTTTCATTGTATAGGTCACCTAAATCTTAGATGTCAGGTATTTTTGAGAACCAGATAAAAATAATGATAGGAAACAGACTCCAGAGAACCCAGGAAAGGAAACAGAAAGCTGAAATTCAGCTTGGAAATAGTCAAACCGATTTTAGTAACTGGCGTCAGATCTTCTTCCGACAATTTAGGCGTTATTGAAGAGATGCAAATACTTCTGGAAAAGCCAAGTCAGCACCTTATTTTGTCTGCGTTGCAGTCGGGTGGGTCTTCATCGCCTCTGGCATGCCTACCCTTCACCAAGTATATTTGTTAGTATGACAGCTCGAGTTGAAAAAGAGACATATAAAAATCTTGTGGGTGTTGAACTTTACAAGAACTGTCTAGTCCTGCATTTAATGCTCTAGCACTAATTACAGGCCCACGTTCACCTCCACCCCCACGGATACACGCCGTCTCAACTTTCCTTGTTTTCTTTTATTTGGGAAAAATTAACCGCATTACTAAATATGTTTCACACCCTTAATAAAATTAATCTATCATCCCATGAATGAACACTGCCTGAATTTTCTCAGCGGAAACAATGAAGAACTCACTGCCCACAAGTCCTTAGAAAATATCCCTTCCATTTCTTCTGGGTTTTAGCTCCATACAGAGTTTACGTGTCAGATGAGCAAACCTCTTCTTGGAAGTCAGGAAGCAGGAAACACATCATAGAGGCATTTTGGTCCTAGAGATGAAAGGGTTATTCCTGAAATATTGGGTTGGCCAGAAAGTTCGTTCAGGTTCTTCCCTAAGATGGAATGGGAAAACCCCAGCGAAGTTTTGGGCCAATGAAATAGCATGCTAATTGTCATTGTAGTGGATAATATTGGATGCATTAGTTGAAATGTAACAATTTTGTTAATTCTTTCAAACCCTTGTTGTTGTTTTTTTTTATGTGTGTAATTTCCCCCCTGCCTAGACCTGGTGAACCGTTTCTGTGAGCAGGTCCTCAATTTTTTACTCTGTCCCTACTTTCCTGCCCTAGCCCCGTCCTCCCCCGGTGTCGACTCCGTCCCCTTGCAGCGCACAGGCAGCCAGCATGGCCCGCAGAGCGCCGCCGCAGCCACCTTCCAGAGGGCCAGCTATGCCGCCGGCCCGGCCTCCAGCTACGCGGATCCCTACCGACAGCTGCAGTACTGTCCTTCCGTCGAGTCTCCGTACAGCAAATCCGGCCCTGCCCTTCCCCCGGAAGGCACCTTGGCCAGGTCCCCATCCATCGACAGCATTCAGAAAGATCCCAGGTGGGTACCAGCCTTTTCCTCTCCCCCCATCGCTGCTAAAGAGATTTTCCCACCAGACCTTGTGACTGCATGATTGTTTTTGGTTTTTTCGTTTTGCATCACTTGATTGCATCCATGTCTCTGGCGGAGTCTGAAAGGGTTGACTTTGGTTGACTTTCATCATCTTCTGTTTGACTTGGAATATGAGTGTTGGTCATGGATCCCTAGTACCTTCTGCGGTTCAGTAGCAAAGACGATCTTCTGATCTGAACATTTGTAGATGCTTGAGGGTTTCAGCTAGTTGTGAGATCTGGAACAGCTTTCTGTGATGAAGTAGAAACAGAGGATGGGAGGTTGTATCATTTGATGTCAGACACTGTAGTCTACATATTTTCTTGTCTCAGGAGAAGCACGCTTTGTCACCTTGTATATTTCCGTTCATGAGTGGAGAGTGGTATACAGGTTACACTGAAAATTGGAAATTTAGAAAACCTTTGTTACCTTCATTTTTGTGTCTGAAAATAAACATTAGGCTGAAGTTGTTTTTGACATTGATTAAAAATTTGAATATAATGTATTAAAGAAGTTGTTACTATTGAGAAATGGTTTTTTGGGTTTTTTTTTTTTTTTTGCTTTCTTGTTTCAACAGTGGCCAAGGCTTTGGTGATGCTCTACTTCTGAAATTGGAATTGAATTCCTGTAGAGTTAAATGATGTTTTATTCATAGGCATTTGATTTATGCAGACAGAGTCCCATAAATATATATCTGCATCTGTGAATACTATAGATATGTCAGGTTCCTGGTATGTCTTTATAGCAGGCATGTGACTTGATTCTGGTGGTATACTTAAAATTCATCTCAAGGAATTTTTGGGTATTTTCTCTGATAGAGCACACAGTGTAAATGTACTGTATTGAGGGGTTTGCATATATTCTTTTGTAAAAAGAAATCACCTCTACATACATAAAAGGCAGAATGGGACCATTTTATGGTATTCTTTAAGATAGCTTCTTTAGCACAATTCAAGCCTACTTGGAAGGCTTATGTTAAATATTGTATGTGGTAAAACCTCCATTGTAAAGGGGGATTATGGTTAAGTGTTCACCATTAGCTACTAGAAATAAGAAAAATTCTTATATTTGCATTTTATTCAGCATCCTGTTCCTCTAGGCTTTCAGTTGAAACAAGGATCTCTATCGTCTTTGTCTGGAAATTTGCCCTAAATCCTTTGGTATTCTTGGCGAGTGGGGGTAGAATGCTTTTCACATAACACAACACTCTCTATTTATTTAGTTTTAAATTTTGCTCTACTGGGATATAGTTCATTTACAATATGTTAGTTTCTGCTGTATAGCAAAGTGATTCAATTATACCTATGTATATAATCTTTTTTTATATTCTTTTCCATTGTGGTTTATCACAGTATATTGACTATAGTTCTCTATGCCATATAATAGGAACTTGTTGTTTATCCATCCCGTATATAATAGTTTGCATCTGCTAATCCAAAACTCCCAATCTATCCCTTCTCCAAAGCTCTCTATTTTTAAATGTTCTTTCTAAATATGTTATTGAAAACATGTAGAAATAGAACAGTAGCACACTCTTTAGGAAATGCTAAATAGGAAAATATATAATTGAATTGGCAGTGCTTTATTTAACATTTAAAATATAAATTGAGGATAAGTATATAATCTTCAGTGAAGAGGTTTTTAAATTTCCATATTAGGGGAATTTGGCCTAATAGGAGTCCAAATTTATGTTTCTCTCACTACAACTTAGCTTCTTTATTGCATACTGTGTATTAAATGTGTTATACTTTTATTAAATGGCATATCCTTTTCATTTTATATTGCTATCACTTTTATAGCCTTTTTCCTTCTTTCAGCATATCATCCTCAGACTATCCTCTTTTCAAGTTATGGATTATGTGACATATATTTAATGAGTGCCCACTGTAAACCAAGAAAGAGAAACACCTGTAAGAAATGAAAGTGACTAAGAGTATATTGGCCACGCATCCTTTGTAGGTGTAAACCTATAGGCAAATCAGTGTTATATGAATTGCAAGTTTACTATGTTATTTTTAAGAATGCTAATGCCAGAAAGAAAAACAAATATTGTGTATTAACTCGTATGTGTGGAATCTAGGCTTCCCTGGGGGCTCATATGGTAAAGATTCTGCCTCCAGTGCAGGAGACCTGGGTTCGATCCCTGGGTTGAGAAGATCCCCTGGAGAGGGGAATGGCAACCCACTCTGGTACTCTTGCCTGGAGAATTCCATGGACAGAGGAGCCTAGTGGGCTGTATACTTCGTGGGGTCACAAAGAGTAGGACATGACTGAGCAACTAACATGCACATGTACATAAGGAATCTAGGGGCCTTCCCAGGTGGCACTAGTGGTAAAGAACCTGCCTGTGATTCAGGAAACATAAGAGGTGTGGTTTTGATTGCCGGGTTGGGAAGATCCCTTAGAGAAGGGACTGGCAACCCACACCTGTATTCTTGCATGGAGAATCCCCATGGACAGAGAACTGTGGTGGGCAGCAGTCCATAGGGTCACAAAGAGTCAGATGCAACTGAATTGACTTAGCACAGGCACACACACGGAATCTAGAAAATGGTACTGATGAACCCATTTGCAGGGCAGGAATAGAGATGCAGACGCAGAAAACAGACTTGGTGGACACAGTGAGGGGAGGAGGTGGTGGGATGATTTGAGAAAGTAGCATTGACATGTATACACTACCATGTGTAAAGGAGCTGGTGGGAAGCTTCTGTATACCATGGGGACCTAGCCTGGTATTTTCTGATGACCTGGAGGGGTGGGATATGGGGATCGGATGGAGGCTCAGGAGACAGGGAATATATATATGTATGTATATATATACATATATATATATGGCTGATTAGCATTGTTGTGTGGCAGAAACCAACACAACATTGTAAAGCAATTATCTTCCATTTAAAAACTGAAAAAAGAATGCTAAGCATTGGCTTTATTTATTTTTTTTCCATTTATTTTTATTATTTGGAGGCTAATTACTTTACAATATTGTAGTGGTTTTTGCCATACACTGACATGAATCAGCCATGGATTTACTTGTGTTCCCCATCCCGATCCCCCCTCCCACCTCCCTCCCCATCCCATCCCTCTGGGTCTTCCCAGTGCACCCGCCCCGAGCACTTGTCTCATGCATCCAACCTGGGCTGGTGATCTGTTTCACCCTTGATAGTATACTTGTTTCAATGCTATTCTCTCAGAACATCCCACCCTCGCCTTCTCCCACAGAGTCCAAAAGTCTGTTCTGTACATCTGTGTCTCTTTTTCTGTTTTGCATATAGGGTTATTGTTACCATCTTTCTAAATTCCATATATATGCGTTAGTATACTGTATTGGTCTTTGTCTTTCTGGCTTACAAGCATTGGCTTTAAATAGATGTCAATTCTGAAAAAAAATAATATTGTACCACCATCCTAAGGTCAGATACAAGCAAAAGAAACAGAACCAGATCTAGAACCAGAATTGAATTATTATGGCTTTGTGTAAAGAGAACTAATAACCTGGCATCATGTGAAATGAGTATATAAAATACAATAATGCCTTTCTTGTAGAGTTATTTTTTTTAATAAAGGGATGTGTCAGAGTGTTCAGATTTAATTGAGACATCCCAAGTCTAAAATTGTAGTCCACAATCTAATACTTCTTTTATGATAGCATTTTTGCATCTTCTTTTGAAGAATGAACTTTGGTCCTTCCTAAGTGAGTGTTACTAGAACCAATATCTTATGTCTGGGGTTCAGAGTAGTGTATCTCAGCATTATAATTTATGATTTAAACTTTTTCAGCTTTTAGGCTTCTTTCTAACTTTTATACATACATTTTTGGAGAGGATGTGTTAAAGTTTTTTATGTATTATTAAATAGCCAACCATGTAAGCCTCTTTACCATTGCAAACATATTTTTAGAGCACATTACAATTCTCAAAGCACTTTTCCTTATGTCTTTGATGTAATTCTCCTTTGTGGGAGGAAACTGATATCTGCATATTTTGTGCCTTAAATAAGTGGAGAATTGGAAAAATTGACCCATGTATATGCAGGCCAGACTCCACACTCTTAGGCACATATTTGCATGGACATTCATATTTATAAAAAGGAAATGGAAATTACATACCATCTTTTATGATTTTCTTGGAGGATGAGGGAAAGCACCAGTTTGCTATGTGTAGGAGTGAATGAAGGAATGAAGGTAATGATACAAATTGTCTAAATAGGTCTGGTCTGTCTGATAATTGCTTATGGCATGTGTGGTCTTTGCTTTGTTTTCTTTTTCTTTCTTTTCTAATATATGACTTATTAATCTTATTGCCGAATAGTGTCTTTTTTCTATTAACGAGTTTCATTGAGGAATTTTGAAGCAAACCTCTATTTCAGAATAAGAATTTGAAATCAAGATAGCCCCAATTCAGTCATTAGACTCGAAACCAGAAGATTCTCTGTTATCTTTTTTTTTTTCCTTTTGGTGTTTTGATGACTTGTGTGTATGCATATATTTAGGCTATTCTATTTTTTTTAATTCAAATATAGTTAATTTACAATATTATATTAGTTTCAGTTGTTCAACAAAGTGATTCAGTTTATATATATACATATATATATGAAATTATATATGTATATTCCTTTTTAATTTTTAAAAGAATTTTTCTAAGTCATAGAATATGAAAGGATTCATTCTAAATGGTTGGCTTTTTTGAGCTTGCTTAGCTGAATCATATAGATCAGGGCAAAACTTTGGACTTTCCACTTTTAACTGCTCTTGTATATTCCAACAGAAAATGCACAAAAAACTTTTATAAAAAGAGGTGATAGAATTTGATTTCCTTAAGTCAGCAGTCACTTTGAAAAAAGTTTTTATATAATATTTACTTCATAGCAGCCTATGCTGAGAGCTATTTGTTAATTGCACATTATCTTCCATAAAATGTGAATTTCTTAAGTATCATCATAGCTACTAT